TTGCCCGCGCATTCCCCCACCCTGTGTGGCAGGGACCCGGGTTTACTAGAAAAGAGTTAACTTTTATTGAAGGCTTAAACAACATTGGAGTGATTCAGGCAAACAGATATAATGTTTCTTAACAACTGAACTTTTGATCTCTAACTTGATTCAAAGAGCAAAAACTTTTTACAATAATATCACCTAATGTATTACTATAGAACACAGACTAGGTGTACAAATAGGGATGCCCGCCTCCAAGTGGGTGTAGCAACCCGAGCTGCAGTGTTAGAGGAGTCAAACAATAAATATATACACTGCAAAAATCTTATAATATTCTAAAACATGCAATATCAACAATAATAATCAATTCATTTCAGTATAATAACTACCAGTCAATTTACATTCTTTTCCCCACCAAAGTCAAACCCCAACGGGAGCCTTGAGAAAGACAGGAGCGCTCCATCTATGAACTTCAGCTGCTTAATGTGCCTCTGGTAGGACCAGCAACAAACATCAATTTAACATCAATGTAACCACAAAAGAAAGCTTTCCCCCTTTAGAAGACTTTCAAGCAAGGAGAAGCGGGTGTACAATTCTAGAAACTCCCGTTGGGGTTTGACTTTGGTGGAAAAGAGGATGTGAATTGACTGGTAGTTATTATACTGAAATGAATTGATTATTATTGTTGATATTGCATGTTTTAGAGTATTATAAGATTTTTGCAGTGTATATATTTATTGTTTGAAGCCTCCAAGTGGGGCCTGGGGATCCCTCGCAATTACAGCTCATCTCCAGACTACAGAGATCAGTTCCCCTGGAGAAAACAGGGGAAGGCGGGCTCTATGGCACTCTACCCCGCTGAGGCTACATCCCCAACTCTCCGGGAATTTCCCAACCTGAATCTGGCAACCCTACGCGCCCCCCCCCCCCATCTCCTACCAGTGGCCAGTGGGGATCTGGCAACCCTAGGTTCGGAAAACCTCCAGTAGTAATAAAATGTTATGTATTGTAAAGTGGCAAGATACATAAAGCAAGGTTAGAGGAGAACGGTATAAGCCATTTTGGGTCCCCGTTAGGGAGGAAGGCGGGGCTGCAACGCAGTAAATAAAAATTAAAGATAAGCACTTTATAAAGCAATTTCTTATCAAAATGACACTCTGAAATCAGGAAGTGTGAAAAGGGAAATGAAATAAACATTTTATTTGTAGGCCCTTTGTGGACAGAAAACATAAATGTCTTGAATTTAGAAAGAATTAAAATACAGACCAAAACCTTTCCATATGAGGAAGGATCCCCCCCCCAATTTCCCTTCAAATGCATTTGTGATACAAAATACATCTAATTGCAAGGATATGCATAGGGTTGCCACCCTGCAGGTGGCACCTGGAGATCATCCACAATTGAACTCCAGACAACCAAGTTCAGTTGCTCTGGAGAAAATGGCTGCCTGGGAGGATGGACTCTATGGCACTATACCTTGCTGAGGCCCCTCCCCTCTCCAAAACCCACTCCCCCCACCAATTTCCAAGTATTTCCCCACCTAGAGCTGTTGACCCTATGCTGTAGCTATGACCTTGCCAGTTCTCAAAATGCCTGCAGAGCGTTTTGGTAAATATATATATATATATACACACACACACATATATACATATACATACATATATATACATATATTTATTGTTTGAAGCCTCCAAGTGGGGCCTGGGGATCCCTCGCAATTACAGCTCCTCTCCAGACTACAGAGATCAGTTCCCCTGGAGAAAATATATATATGCCAGTAGAGCAACAGGTCTCTTCCCCTGGAGAAAATATATATATGCCAGTAGAGCAACAGGTCTCTTTGCACCCCACTGCAGCACAAAGTGCCCCCCACATGAGGTGAAAGTAAATCTGCCACAGGGAGGGGGAAATAGACGAAAACCACCCATTCCTAAGTTTACGGTGGCCTACTCCAGGCTGATAAATTCCTGGAAATTTGGGGATGGAGCGTGGGGTGGGAGAGGTTTTGGGAAGAGGATACCTCAGCAGGTATAATTTTACAGCAGAACTTCCATCTGCATAGCAATTATGATTCCGGGAGATCTCCAGGCCCCACCTGGAAGTTGGCAACCTCAGATCCAGCCCGCTTCTCCGCACAACATAGCAACACCAGCATTCGCTTGCCCACATTTAAGATGAGTCTTCTGGCTCCAGCCCATAAAGCGCCTCAGTCGCCCGCATTCAAAATGGCTGCGCACAACCACCGCCCTCCACCCCCCGACGCCGACCCCATTTTTAAGATGGCCGTTTTCCCCTCCACCCTCAGCCCTCGAGGTGGCGCCCCACATGCCTCTCCTCCAATCGCGCCGCGCGCTGGAACCCGGCCCCGCCCACTGCCTCCAAAACGCAGCCAATGGAACCCCGCTCAGCGGCCCCAGCCGGGAAGGGCTTTGTGTCGCCGTGGAACGTTCCAGCCCGCCTCGTCAGGGCGACGCGCCCAGGAACCAATGACGCCCTGGCGCCGAGTGGGAGGGGAGGCGGGGCCGTTCCACGCCGCCATTTTGTGAGTCTATATAACACGTAGCCGTTGGGTCCACTCCTGCTAGTCCAGCGCCTCCACTCAGTTCCCTTCGGGCCGCCTTCGTGTGCAATGGACGGGTGAGGAACGGCGAGGCACCGTCTCGGTCTGAAGGGGAGGTTCGGGGGGAGGGGAAGGATTACCTGGGGGAGGAGAGGAAAGGGGGGGGGCTCACCTGAGCGCGGCCCGAAGGCGTCGCAGTCGCTCTCGGAGCCACTTTTTCCCTCAGAGGACGTGGCCCGTGGTATTTTCCGTCAGGGGTGAAAAAGAACCCGGATGTGTGTGTGTTTTTTAAAAAAAACTGAGGGGGGGGATGGGCCTCGTTTCGTTGTTTTATAACTTTTATTCAGTTCGGTCCTTGTGGTGGAGGAGGGGAGGGAGAAGTTCGGGCCGTTTCTCACGGGTGGGGGAGAGAGTGCGCGCGCGCGAACAGACCGCAGCCCATCCCCCCCCCCTCCATCCCGCCTCAACTTTTCCCGAGGGCCGCTCGCGCTCCTCAACGGGACGTTCTCAACGGCACGCCCACCCCCTCGCTCGCGTCCTCTCACTCTTCTCCCCCCCCCCGCGTTCCAGCAGCGCGCACGCGCTTACCTGGACGGCGCACGCGCACTTGCCTCCCTCCGCTCCACGTTCTCCGGGCGCCCTCTCTCTCTCCCTCTCGGCCCCGCCCACAACATCTCTCCAAAGTTCCGAGCCCCACCTGGACTGGGCATGCGCTCCTCTGGACTCTTTTCCCCCTCCCTTTCCCCATCTTGTCTTCAACTTTTCGACGTGTTCTGCCCTGGTCGGCTTCGGCTTCTCCTGGTCACGCACACCCCTTCCCCCCTTCTCTCCCTCTCCTCCGGATGTGGCCTGAACGGATCCTTTTATCCCCCTTCTCTCCCTCCCCCTTTTAAATACGTTTTAAAAAGGGAAGTTGTGGAGGAGGGAAGTAGGTCTCAGCCTCCCTTCCTGCTTGTCTCGACATGACAGTAGAGGGAGTGTGGGAGAGAAGATGGAGGGGGTAGGAGTTAACTTGCACAGCATCTCTTTCGTACGCCTCTAATGCAGCGTGTACTGGGGTGACTGTGTTTTTTTGCAGCTTTAAATGCAGATAGACCTGTTAGATGCCATAGCCACCTTCTCCATGCACCTGGCCTGATGGGGGGGGGGATAGCATTTCAGTTGCTTCCTTTTCCAGGGAGTAAAGTGGCTTTTGTCTAAACCTGCCTTCTTGATAGAGGCTTTCTCATTTGTGTTTTCCTGTTAATTTGTTACAGGGTTTTTTCAGCCATTAGTTATGTGGAATAGTAAAACGCCCAGTAGCACCTTTAAGGCTAACAAACATTTGGCAAAGAGAGCTGTGTTTCTTGAAAGCTTATGCTACAATAAAGTCTGTTAGTCTTAAAGGTGCTCCTAGGATTTTTACTACTTTGCGGCAACAGACACGGTTAACTCCTCTGGATCTAGAAATGTAGAGATTCATTTTGGTTTTGTTCGATTTCATGGCCTGAGGTTATGCCCAGCACCCTTGGTGATGTGGACAACTTTTTAATCCCATCTGTGGAGAGAGGTTGTTTATCTCCCCCCCCCCCTTTAGCCTTTTAGGGTGCTGCTCATCCTGGTGTAAAATTAACTTTCTCTTCATAAGAGAAGGGGGAGTCTTTATACGTCTGAATGTGTGTAGTTTCTCTTTTTAGCTTTTTTTGGATCTGTGAGGTGGAAATCTTGAACCATTAACCCTGGCTCATTAGTAAAGCCCATGTAGAGGTCTCAGTTAAACTGAAAGGCCTTGTCTGGAAACTTCTGCCAGCATAGACAGTACTGTAGAAAGATAGACTGATGTGTGACTCAGTGTCCGGCAGCTTCAAAATGACTAACATGGGGTATCTGTAGAAGAAAGAGTTAGTAAATTTGGATCTAACTTACAAAGCAAGTGGATAAATAGGGACCTCTTCGGTGGGAAGGTAACAGCATTCCGTGCGCCTCGGCATTTAGTCATGCCGGCCACATGACCACGGAAACGTCTTCGGACAGTGCTGGCTCTTCGGCTTGGAAATGGAGATAAGCACTGCAACCCTAGAGTAGGATTTGACTGGCTTTCGAGCAAGGGGAAACCTTACAAGGCATGTGTTGGAACTTGCTGTCAGTATTCGCTGTTCTTCGCATCTGGTTCACATGGGACCCGGTCACACGGGCCGGATATTGCAGGGGGAGGCGTGGCTAATTGCCCCGGCGCAGTTTGGTCTGCGATTACGCGATCAGATTCGCTGGTGGCACACCACGGATCCTTCCCTCGGCGCCGGCGGGTAAACGAGGGACTGGAGGGGGATGCCGCGCGCTGGCACGATCACACCACAGGCGTCTGGAGGCAGCCCGTGGCAAACATTTACTAGTACTTTGGAGGTATTAGTTTTTTAACGCGCATTGTCGGCGGTAAGCCACGGGTGCGCTCCAAATGTTGGGGTGTGATCGCGCCTGGATAATCCACCCACCATCCGTGCCTCTCCCACGTTGCCGTGTGACCGGGGCCTTAGACTCTGTTGATTTAAGCACCTTGAAGTGGTTGCTAGCCTTTTGCAGGCTGCTTTTGTTGCCTATGGAAAAAGAGATGCCCTTGCAAGAGTTTCTTTTGTTGCTACCATGCTTGTCTCCCATTTGCAAACAAAAACATGTCCAGGGCTGCTTTCCTTCCTCCCTGCCTGCTAGTTACTGGCTGTTTTCCTGCTTTAATTGTGTGCTTCTTGCCCCAGCACAAACTGTTCTTCTGCCAACTTTCTGCATGTCCAGAAAGAAGCTTGTCTTGTCTTTGTGCATGCTGGAAATGCTGGGGGGCATGGGGCAGGGTGCCCTGTTCTGCTGACGCCACTCCTTTCCATGCACCAGGAGAAAATGCTCCCTCCTACACTTTGCATGAGAATCAAGGCTTCCCCTGCAGGCTCAGATGAGTGGAGGCTTGTTACCTGGGTGTGGTGAGCAGTGTGGCCTTATTGTTTTACAAAGAGTCACCTTTAAGGTGACTTTGAGGGCAAAGGAAGGAAGGCAAGGTTATTGTGGTGATGTCCAAAGTGTTCAGAGCTCGTCTCGCTTTTACAAGAACGTAGTGGGGTTGCTTGGTGTGCCTCCTACCTAATGGCTGTTGCCCTGAAGAGCTTCTGCCACAGTATGCCAGTTGGTGTCTGCAGTGTTGTTGTGCTGCCATTTTATGGACCACTTAAGTTTCTCTTTTGAAACTGTGCTACTTTTGTCACCCCATAAAAATTTTATAAGCCTTTAGTCTGAAGCTACAAAGTGAGCTTTCTGTCCCCGGGTGCCAGCATCAAGCTTTTTTTGATCCCAGCCCAGTGCTGAGATAGTTACATTCCAAGGCTCTGACCCCAGAGTTAAAATACCATGGGGTGCCTGGGGCTGTTGCAGCCATGGTGGGCTCCTTCAGTCAGCTTTTCTTTTTAATCTTTCTGCTTAATGAGATTGGTCTCTGTTGGCCTTTCTTGTTACATGTTTGACTGCTTGAAAACATAGCCCATCTATATATGTGGCTTGGTTTGTGATCCTAAACACCCTTGGATGTAAGGCACATTGCAGCCAGTGAGTAGTATTCCTAAGTAAGTGTTCAGTGCCCGGCGCCAGTAACTCCCCTTGCTGGAGGTGCTCAAGTCAAAGGTTGGACATTCATCTGTGGAGCTTGCACTACCTTTTGATTTCCTGGACTGAGTAGGGGGTTGGACTGTATGTCTTCTAAGGAGCTTTAACAAGAAGTGGCTAGACTTCTAATTAACTTGGAACTGTTGACATCAACCTGCTTTCTGTTAAGGACAATGTAACTAGACCCTTATCGGGCTCCCAGTTGCTTCCTAGTTTTTTAGCACACAGTTCTGAGACAGCTCAATTAAATAAACGTTTATAATTCAAGGATACCGTTAGTGACTTGAATTTTTTTTATCACTTACATCTAGATCTGACAAAATTTGCCACGCCATAACATTTAACAAAATCTATACCATTTAAATACCAAACATGTACTTGAAGCTGAAGTTGCTAGGAGTTTTTTTTAATTCAGTAGTTGTTGTCATTGATAATCTAGTTTATGGAAGTGTTCATGTTGCGCTGCTGATCTGAACTGTTGCAAACTAAGGTATTTCCTGCATATAAGTCTGGCCTTAAGACAAATGGTAACCAGACTGAATAATACATTACTGTGGAGAGATCTGGCTTTGCATCTGGGCCTTATGTAAATTACATTGGCTACCCTGTTGGGAGGTGACATAGAGTCTCTTCCTGTCAGGCATCTGACTTGAGTAGATGTAGCTGAGACTTGAGTAGATGTAGCTGACAGTCGGCATAGAGGATTGCTAGCCGGTCCACTACTACCCTTATAAATATTTGGGAGGTTTTGGTAAACTCTAAAAAGCAAGATGTATTTTTAGAAATTATTTTCTAAAACCATCTCTGACCAATTCAGATACACTGAAGCATTCCTGAGCTGAAGCTTTCCTGGATTGTTTTAAAATGGGTGTCCCAAATCAGTTTGCTTGATGTAGAATGTTTCTCGTGTGAGGCCCCCTGAGAAAAACAGGAAGTAGAAGTCATTGCTCACAGGGGGTAACTTTGAGAGCTCTTGAATTTCAAGTGGCCTTGGGAATTTCCTCCCACTGATTATAAGAGGAATAAAATGCTGTTCTGTTTCCCAGCATATGTTTTTAGCCCTTATATAATTTGGACAGTGAAGTGGCTATGTAAAACATCCCTTAGTTGGACTTCTCCACTGATACGCAGATGGGTTTAATTAGTCCACTAGAGCTGGCATTCAGGACCTCAACAAAAACCCATCTGTCTCTGCTGGCAATTGTAAACACCAGTGGGATTGTAAAAATTCTGTGTTCCTTCATTGAGCTTTTTTTAGCAATGGTCTGAGGCAGCAAAAGCGACTTAAAGCTTTCTGGCAGCCGCTCTTAAGGCAGATTGAGCTCCAGCTGTGAACCGCTGGGTTTGTGATGACATGGCAAGAGCTGGTTTTGAGGATGAAAGAAGCAGGCTGTTGGTTGCAAGGAAAATCAGGGAGTTTTGCTATAAGTATAGACGCTCTCTGTATGGGAGGCGCAGGGGTGCAGTGGCAGACACTTGAGTAGAAGATGGAATGGAACTGTTTACAAGGGTGGCATATTACTGGCCTTGATGCAAAGAGTTGTCAGAGCCCCAGATATGTTTTCTGTAGTGACTGGGTATTCAGCCCATTGGCATTGTAGAGCGCTTTGTGAAACCATTGGATTTGTACTGTCCCAGGATTCAAACAGTGGTAAGCCAAAGAGAGGGGCTTAGTTTGGGCCTGCTGCCCTAAGTGGGATTGGGCTGTGCTTATTTGCCAGGGGAATGGGCTGGGAAATTTTCCAAGTCCTATCTTTGTTTCATAAAATTAACAATAATTGCTAATTCAGTATTAGGCATGCTAATACAGTGTTAGACAAGCAGAGTCTCCAAGTTGTGGCTTGGCTCCATCAAAAGTTTTGAAAGACAGGGTTTCTGTCTACAAAGTTCAACGTCTTCACTTTCTCCTCCTGTGAAATGCTGCTCCTGGGGGACAGAGGAGACCCAGGAACATTAAGGGGGATGAGTATGAGGTCTGCAGATGGAGGGAGAATTGGTAAAAATTGCCCTCTTCTTTCTGTGGAAATCCACTGCTGGATCTAAGTCATTCATGTTTTTCAGGTGCTTGTAAGAGTACATGTAGGTAGTAGTCATTGCCAGACTAAGCTCCATGAGACCTGGATTCTAATCCCCACTCTACCATGGAAGTTTACTGGGTGACCTTGGTCCAGTCGGTCACCTGCCACCTAACCCACCTCATAGTGTGACTGTAAGGATAAAATGGAGAAAGATGTTATAAGCTGCCTTGGGTCCCTGTTGGGTAGAAAGCTGGGGTACAAGTGTCTAAATGTTTTATTGGCTTGGTGGGGGAGAGAAACACAATCACAGATACATCAGACCAAATAAAACATCAAGTTGATTGGGTTTGCAGGTTAAATCGAACCCAAAGCTGCCATTGTTAATTACATGTCTCCTGATAAATCTGATGTGAAATTAAAAATTATCAAGGAATGGAAGTGATGCAGCAGAGAGTGACAGGAAGACTGAAGTGCCCCATTACCTCCAAGAAAGAGTTAAATTGAAATAAATGCATGGACAACCACATTCAGGGCATTTTGAGCATAGTTCTTTAGGTATGCTAAAATTACAGGGCAACCCCTTGCAGAGTGACTGGAAGTAAGGTTTCAGGAGAATTGCTGGGTGTTTGCCCCAAAAGACAGATATAATGGCAACTGATAAACTAATACAGCTTTCACAGCAATTTTCACTGCCCTGGACAAGATGGGTACACAAGGCAGATGCACAAGCACTAATTAAGGCAGATATTTTTTCCTACATGCAGTTTTTACTAAAATAATAAAGTAATGGAGCAGTTTGTTCCCTGAAGTGGTTATAAGTTGGGGGGGGGGGCTGGTGGCAGTTTTTACAAACTCTGGTGTGTCTATCAGGTATATTGTTACACTACATGTGGACCCTCTAACTTGGATGTAGATGGAATGCAGCAGGTATAGCATTCTAGGAGGAGCACTGGCTTTTGTGACTTTCTGTCTTACAGGACCCATATGGGCATGTAGGATGGGTAGTTTCTTCTTTATTCATTTTCTTGGGGTCTCCACCACCATTCTGAGCCACACAGTTTTAAATGCCCCTGGCTCATATGATGACTGTACTCGTCTGCCTTTATTTTCCTTTCTGAATATGTGTGCAAACCTCCCTAACTTGGTAATCCTTTTCCTTCCTTTGCAGCATTGTCCAAGATATAACAGTTGGTACAAAGGTAGGCATTTTTCTTTTCTTTGATTGCATGGTATCTAATGTATGTTTCCTGCAGGCCATGAAGTTCTTACTAAAACACAGCTTTTTGTGACATGTGTGCTCTGCCTCATGGATGTGGTGCTGTAATCTGCTGGTGTTCAAACCGTTGGATGGGGACAGTGCTGGGTTTTCTCAAGGAGAAGATCAGTAAAAGCAGGTGAACTTTCCTAAAATTCACTGCAACCAGTTTTCCCCTGCTGTAAGGGTTGGTGTTGGATGTATTCTGGGCCTCCACTTCAGTTATGCAGGAACTGTGCACGCTCTAGCTAACTTCCCAAAATATATAGGTCTTTGACAGGTAAGCTATCGAACGAGTTTCCTCAAAAATTGGGGTTGTAATCCAAAACTGTATCTAAGCAGACTATAACGGGCGGGGGGGAGGTGAGAGAAATCTAGATAATCCAATTTGGGGTTACTCAGTTCCTTAACATACAGCCTTTGTGTTGGGGGAAAAAATTTAAATGCCTTTTCCTCTTGAAGTACTATAAAACATGAACTTTAGTACTGGTAGTTTTAGCCCCACCCTAATATAAAGTGCTGATGGGGAAGTCTCCTTATCTACAGGAATGGCAACTAGAGACGAGTGTTTGTGGGGCAAAAGCTTATGCCTGCAAACTTCAAGGACCTTGAAGAATGGGTGGTCTTAATTGTGCAGATGCAATTTAAAATGCAAGAGCTTTGTATCTGCCAGTGTGAAGATGACTAGTGTCCTCTGCTGAAAAGGTGGTGGTCTTCTACGCTTCTGTGTTCTCCATCCTGGTACAGGAGCCATCTGCTGGTGCCTAGGACTTGCATATATTTTTCTTGCTCTGCCCTTCCTGAGAACGATCCAAGAAAAGAACACTGTAAAATTGTTTTTCCTGGCAAACATTGACCTTGGAAAAAGCTGTTCAGCAGCTTGGTCTGAACTCTCACATACCGCAATGGCTGCAGGTGGCACGGGCTTTGTAATGTGCTTCATTGTGCTCGCTTCACAAGTCCCTTTAACAGGCGATGCGCTTCGCCTGGCTGGCTAGACCTGGTTTTGTGGGGGAGGCCAGGATCTTTGCTATGGGAACAGCAATTATGGCTTTGGGCGCTGGCCAAGAATGCAGCGAGGAAATTCCAGCTCTCGTTTACAGCTCCAGTTCAAAGGCTGCAACAAGCTGGCTCTTGGTGGGCCTGTGGTAGCAGGCTTGGCTCCATATGCAAGCCACATGTGCTGACACACAAAAGAATATTGAGGAACCCTCTGTCAGAACCCACAGCCAACAACGAAGTACACACATTTAGGAACGGTAATACTTTTATTGCAGATCTATAGGCATGGTGAACAAAGGCAGTAACATAAGCACTGTTAAGAATGGCGGCTGCCCCATGAGCATAATAGGATATAGGGTATTCGTATGCATCCCCCAGAGCACTGGCCTATTAGGCACTCTCCCGCGCGTGGGATAAAGCTTGGAGACTGTTGGGTAGCTAAAGCTGAGAACCAACACTCTCCCACGGCACCTAGGAAAAACCCAGACAATACAACTCCCTCCTGCACATCTGTATAGATAAGCATTTCGGCGCAAGGCAGAACAAGCACAAAAAGGAATGCAGTAGCAATTAACTAGACACAGACCGAGCTCCCCAACCCCCATGGCAGCGTAGCTGACACCCTCGAGCAGTTGGGAAAATGTGGGGAACACATAGGGCATGTGACTAGCATTATCTGATGTGTAAGGGAAGCTCAGTCTCTTCTCTGCGTGGCAAAAGGGCCCTTTTGTGGTTTTTGAATGTGTCAAAATCACTGCTTGAAGTGCTGGGGCTATTTCTTTATCTGCCCTTGCAGTGACTTGAGTTGGTAGAGTCTTGGAGTGGCAGGCTAGATAGTCTTACCTCAGATGGCAAGTGGTGTGGTGACACTTCAGAAGACTGCCTTGGTTTAAAAAGGAAGTTCTGCAGGTTGAAGTCTGGTAGCACGCAGCCTGCAGTGCTGCCACATCTCCCTAAAACACTGGTTATACTTGACGAAGGGGCTTTGTGTGTGAGGGAGCACTCAAATGGTAGTCCTTCATCTACAGTCTGACGCAATACAATCCATGCTGCTGCCTCCTTCTGTTGTGTAGATTATGCCCCAAGCTACATGGCTGCTCTTAGGCTACCATTTAGCCTCTACCAACTATTTCTAGGCACTTTCGGTATGTTGGGCATGGTGTGATAATTTTGGTTTCATCAGTTTAAAAAGGGAGTGGATCAGCATCAGCAGTCAACAGTTGGGCGAGGGTAAACAATTAAGGTTAAGGCTCAGCTATACAGAAGTATCTCTGGTTGGGGTGAGGCCTGGTTGGGAAGGGGAGCCGTGTTCATCTGCCGTAGCAAAACGAAATTCGAATAAAGCCTGAAAAAGCTGTTTATTTCAATACTTGCTTTCCACAGCCCACTTCATCAGATAGACCTGATTCAGAAATGTGCACCTGGAGGAAGGGGCCATGGCTCAGTGATGAAGGGGGCTCACCTACTTCATAAACAAAAGTTTATAGGGTCAGTCCCTTCAACCAATCTTAAGGAGTGTTGGAAAAAGTTCTCTGCCTGAGGCCTTGATGAGGGCGCTGTCAGAGTAGAAAATATTCTCAGGACAAACGGATGGTCTGACTCTCTCAAGCAGCATGCTTTATTTATGTACAAGTAGTTACTCAGCTTGTTTTGTATGGGGTTGCAGCTCCTGAAAAGATTCTGCTTTTCAGTTTGAGTGTGCTCCTGTATTGGAGCTGGTCCTGGATGAATATCCAGGTAGTGGGTTGCTGTGTGTCCCATGTTTTACCAGGAAAGGCTCATTTGGTAGCAGTGCCTTGTTCTAGGCAGGAAGGATCTTGCCAGGTTTACTTGTTGGACTGCCATAATGGGCTGGGCGGGGGGGCTGACCTTAAAGTATATGGAAACAATATGTTGGATCCCATGGAAGATTTCTGGGAACAGAAGAGTGGGACAATTTTTGTTGGTTCCCTCCAGCTGTAGACCTCTGACCCTCAGGAGCGGGGGGGGGTAGTCTCCTATCCACTGGGAGCAGAATTTCAGGGGCCTTTGTGGCTGCACTGGAAGACAAGGAAGTCATGCTCTGCAGATGGAAATACCTTCTGTCTATGGAAATTACTGGTGGAGCCACGCCTTCACCTGTTCTGGAATGTAGCTGCTGGACATGGTGAGCAAAGGCAGTTCAAAGCCACATGGCTCACATTGCGTCAGGTAGTGAGCAACTGCACTGGTTTCCATGGACAAGTCATGTTCTGTTTTTGACCTTTAAAGCACTCAGCTCTTTGTCACTAGCTGCTTCAAAGGACTGATCTCTTCCTCCCTTGAATTTGCACAACAAAATAGGTCATGTTGGAGATCATATCTCCTTTGCCCCCCTTTCTGAAATAGGCATGTGAGAGGACTTTCTTGGAGGTAACACTGAGGTTATGGAACGTCTCCCAAGAGAAACTTGTCATGTTACCTTCACTGGTGTTTAGAAGGCAGGTGAAAATTGCTCTTTCCAGAGAGCATTGAGGATATTTAGATAAGGCCCTCTGGGTTTATTTGATGGTTGGTTCTGTTCTGAAATTGATTTTGGTGATGCATTTTGTCTTGATTTTTGGCATGCATTTTGTAACTTTGATTGCTTTATGGGTATTAATTGGGTCAAGAAGCTGAGTATAAATAATTATTTAGTTCTAGCAGTAAGCTTGTGAGGGCAGCCTTTGTAGCTCTGCTGGTCCTGTGGAACAGGTGACCATAATTTTAGACCAACTAGTTGCTAAAATGCTGGTGAGCAAAGACATTTCCATGCTTGCTTTGGTTGAAGGTGATGCTTTTTCCTTGGGAGAACCAGTGGCTCATTCTTGTCTGCAGTCTTTCTACATCAAGATGGAGTAAGTAGTTAAATTCGTTTAAATAGGCCATGTGGGTAAAGCTTCAAGTTACATAAAGGCCCTTCAGTGCCAGGGTGGTAAATGTAAATCAGATGGCCTTGCTTAGAAGTAAGCAGAATCAGCTTGCTCTTGGGATTGTCTAGTACAATTTAGTTCTCATATGGTGGCTCTGAAAAGCATGGGTGGTTTGCTCCATTTAGAAAAAAACTTGCTTCCTTTTTAGACTGCAAAAGCGTCAGACCCAAGTCCAGTTACACTCAACAACTCTCTTGGCAGTGATAAGTTTATTGAGTTATATGTAAGATCCAGAAAGTCACCATGCCAGAACTGAGGAGTTTTGGCGGGCACAAGATTAATATGGATAATTCAAAGAAAAGCCCCTTTCCCCCAAGCTTATCAAATTCTGGCACTACTAGTTTGAAGAAATGTGATGAATAATGCTCTTTCAAGGGCTTTTTAAAGCTAAAGAGACCAATTGCCGCCCTGAGCCGTATGGATAGGGCGGGGTATAAGTCCCAAAAATAAATAAATAAAATAAATAACTTGGAATTGCTGTTTATGGAGTAAACTCTGATATTCCCGCCCTGATCGAATCTGCTCCATGGTACTCACTGATCTGCTTTGTCTAAGGTGTAGAAGCAGTAATAGCTGAAACCTCTTGGGAGGTGTTGAGGCCAGTGTTCCCTCTAAGCTGAGTTAGTGTGAGCTAGCTCACAGTTTTTTAGCCTCTGGCTCACACATTTTTATCTTAGCTCAGGAAGGATGGCTCCAGAGCAAACTAACTTAGGCAGTAGCCAAATTACCCGCTCACAATTTTAATGCCAGTAGCTCACAGAGTAGAATTTTTGCTCACAAGACTCCACAGCTTAGAGGGAACATTGGTTGAGGCATGGCATAGCTTTTCTGGGGAAGACAAGTTTGTAGAGTAAAATGTGAGACTGTATGGCAGAAGCCAGTCTGGGGGCACAACGTATGTGCTGGGGGTCAGGTCACACATTTACTCTGCCAACATGCTCCAAGCTGGCTGATGCTGCTTCTCAGTGTGGATCCGTTTGATTCAACACTGTAGGTACTCTGCAGATAGGTA